ACAGGAACAGGTTCCCTTACAAAAGGCCACCCAAAAAAGAAAAACACTACACATACCTATATATATTTATACTAATATAATAATAATAATAATAATAATAAATTAGGTTAATTCAGTGTCTAACTGGTATAAATAAGCCTTACAAAGACTCTTAAAATCAGAAAGAGACTCAGACTTTCTGACATGCATAGGTAAACAATTCCAGGCTTTAACTGTTCTATGGAAATAGGAATATTTTAGCATGCTTGTTCTCGCATATTGAGTTTTAAATGACAACTCAGCATTTCTTAGTTCATATGCTGCATTTTTTCTGGAAATAATAAAACTAGATAATTTAATATTTAAGAGTCCCTTTAAACATTTGTAAAAGAAGATCAAGTCAAGTAGAGTCCTTCTAGACTTAAGGGTTAGAAGATGGAGAGATTTCAACCGCTCGATGTAAGATTTTCCTTTGATCATGAGTCGCGTGGCGAGTCTCTGAACGCTTTCAATCATGTCCTGCAAAAAGGCTTGGTGAGGGGACCAGATTTCACTGGCGTATTCAAGGTGAGGCCGCACAAGGTGTATGTAAAGCTTGCGAATCACAGCAGACTGTGTCTGATCTCCACATGTCCGTATAATCAGCCGCAGGATCTTATTAGCGGCATTTATTTTTGTAAAGATGTGGTCATGTGGTCATAAAGATCAGAACCTGGTCAGACCAGTATAGATTTTGCTGTCAGGTTCATGTTTTAACTTGTCGGCTGAGTGAGACCTAGTAAGGTTCACGTTTGACAAGTGCTGTCCTCATAACTGAGGTCAGAAAGTGGAAAAGGATTCAAGAATATAGTGATTAATTGAAACTCAACCAAAAATCTTAATCATTGGTTGAGTTTCAATTATTTGTCACCCTTTAAGAATGGTAACAAATAACCGTATTAACAATAATAATTATGATAACAATAGTAATAGTGATGATAATTTATAGGCACTAGCTCAAGAGCCTCACTGGTCCTCTGTCGGTCTGCGCTCCAGACTTCAATAATGACTAAACTATGCTTCTTTCAATGTCGCCTGTTAATTACAAGTTAATTTCTCATTTAAAGATGAAATAAACAATTTTTAATATACTCGATAACAAACTCGATAATTTCTCATTTCTTCACAAAATTTTCCACTTCTGTGAGACTTTCGTTTCAACAGGACATCCCGCATTGTAAGATATTCCGCTATTCCACCATTCCACCGTTCCACCGTTCCATCATTCTACCGTTTATCATTCCACCGTTCCATCATTCCACCGTTCCATCATTCCATCGTTCCATCATTCCACCGTTCCATCATTCCACCGTTCCATCATTCCACCGTTCCATCATTCCACCGTTCTATCATTCCATCAAATAGGTTTCTCCTGTTAAACGTAATTCGGACCTTTCTCGCTCCGCAACTTTAGCGGCTCCTTTGGCCATTAGTCGCTGTTTGAAATGTTAAAATGCACACTCTTTGAATAATCAAAATTTTTCTTCAAGGAAAAGTCTTGTTTTCAATTACGTACCAGAGACACTACTGGGAAATTATTTTGAAAAGCGTATCATCTATTGTTGTGTCACAGTAAGAACTGAAAGAATTACATCTTCAGATCTTCTGGGCATAATTTGCTGATTCAAACGGCAGAATGCTCTCCCTTCAAAGAAAGTATTTTACCAGTAAGTTTTAATTATGCACCTATCACACTTTTTAAGACATTTCTGCAAGGTAACGCTTTGTTTTTCACGCATAATCCTGAAATTATTGTGAGATGGTTATCGTCCTCTGTAGTGCTCCGAAACAAGCAATAACTAGCATCGGGGAATCAGTGTGATCACGTGATATTTCCGTCACGAAAACAAACAAAAGCCAAGAGCGAGGAATATCGGTTAAAACTTGGCAGACTTCGTTGTGGGAATAGAAGTCGTTCGTATTTTATTGTTATACTCACTCACTCAACAGGACAACATTATGCCTTGTCTCCTTAGATGGCAGTAGCCATAAAAACTTCCGCAGCAGATGTCAAATATAAAAGGATCCCAATAATTGCATTTGAATATAATATTCAACTAGGAGAAAGCAGTTCCAATTCAAATTAAACAGACATGTGAACTGAGGATATATCTGAGTCGTGTTTGCAGATAGCCCTTTTCGAAGATTTCCGACAAATAGGCCAAAACTTTCGTAGAATCTTCTAAGTTTGCCCACAGCAAAATAACAAAATCGTTTTTTTTTTTTTATTGTAGACAATGATTGGCATAGTAACGTCATAACGAGATGTAAGGTTGCCTCGCTTTGGATCGTTCAGCTGTTGAGTCTCCCAATACTACCTTAAATTTAAAACAAAAACTTGACAACAAAGTGCCTTCCCAGCAACATGTTTCTCCTCTTTGCTTTATTTCATCTCTTCATGTTTGCAGTTCATTTCGTAACTGTCGGAGGTGGTGGTAAGTATCTCAAATTAACACAAGTGAAGGAGTAATATATGAAAAAAGTAAAAAAAAAAAAACTGTCGAAGCTTTGCCTTGTCAAAAAAAAAAATTGTCGAAGCTTTGCCTTGTCACTGAAGTTGAGACTTAGAAAAGTTCTTTCTCCTGAAGCATCACTTTCCCGTTCGTAGTACTGCTTATGTATCGGTCGCCGAGAGTAGCAATGAGCAGTTTTGAGTGTGAAAGGAAAGACGGAAAGTTGTTCTAACGATGAGGGATTAGTTACACACCAGGTGTTTCAAATCTCCTGCTTTAATTTTAGAACTAGAACTTCGTCAACAAGCGTAAAAACATTTTTGGAAGACTTTCGATAACATTTTATTACCTATAAATACTTCAGATGATGGAAGGGTGATTTTCGGTTTTTTCATTCGATTTATCTCACAACAGTAAGGACTTGGTACAATGTTTGAAGATCAAGACACTTCATATATCGAGGGCCGTTTATTTACTTTACGTTATTAATTTATTATGATACATCATGGTGTTGAATTACTAGTTATGTTTACGAATGTAAGACCGGAATAGGTGGACAGCTCGAATCATGAGCCTGTGTATATCGATGTCTCCGTATTCGTAATGACTTTCCATGCTAAAATATAATAGCAAACATTAAGTGTGAGCAACAATGAACGCAATCGCTCAGGCTGCATTACCTGTATTTGCTGCCTGACTCAGGCAGCAAATACAGGTAATGCAGCCTGAGCGATTGCGTTCATTGTTGCTCACACTTAATGTTTGCTATAATATAAGTCAAGGCAAAAAAATAAAATAATATATATAATATAATATATATAGATACTAAAACCAATGAAAAACGAAAGTCTTCTTTTTCTTTGCTTTTGCGCTACGTGTTTCACCGCTGTTGTGGCTCTTCAGGCATAGCAAAGTGTGTTTATTGACTTATTACGTCTCAGATCTAATTGTAATTACACTTGTGATTCGAAGCCCAGCGTAATTTCAAATCATTAAGAACGGGTTTATATTTCGAAGTAAAAAATCTCTCTTTGTTCTTTCTCATGACCTCGGAAGGGCTGAGAATCTTGCAAAACGGAAAGATCTATCTTTCCGTTTTACAAGATGGTGGGAAATGTTGAGCTTAGCCCCGTAACCTGAGTTTAGTTAATATACAGTCGTAGAAGACAACCTTTCCTTGCTCATATTAATGTACCCTTTAACTTTTACATGATAAGTTGATAATTTCAGACCCAGAGACCCCTTACTACCGTCTGTTTGGCGTGCGCGCCGGCTTTTGTGTTTGGATTTCGCTTATATCGTACCCAGATCCTTCTGTGTAACTGTTGGCTACGTAAGGTCTACGACAAGTCTAAAGTTTCGCCTTGCAGCCCTTCTTTGCTTATGCAAAAAGTTATTGAAATCCCTGCAAACCATATCTTTAAAAAAATCTTTAAAAAATCTCATTATACTTCTTATTTTCTTTACAGATGTCTGCAGACAAGTGCATTTCTTAGAAGCCATTGCTGATAAAGCCCTAAGTGGTCACGTGGTTAAAACGATACCAGTGGAGACAGATGGTCAATGTGAGGTTGCTTGTTACGACGACCTCATGTGTCTCTCTTATAACATAGGACCCAAACAGGCCGATAGACATCAGTGTGAGCTCAGCAAATCGGATCACATCCGAGACCCTGGTAATTTAGTTCCCATGGCAGGGTACACGTACAGACCAACTGAGGTACAAAATATAATGAGCCATTTCCGAGTTCTAAAATATCCTTCTCCCTTAGAATTGAGCGAAGCCTTTGTGAAAAGGCTCCTTGTTTACCTTAGGAGAAATTGTAATTCCCCTCAAAGGTTTCGCACGTTGATAGCCTCGTTTTAAACAATGTTGGAGGGTGGGAGAATGGAGACTAACGTTCATTGAAAATCTAACTTAGTAAGTTTTGAACATGGAGTCTCCTCAACTGAAATTTATTCAGAATCATTATATCGTGTAGCTGACTTAAAAAAAGAAATTTCAAAGGGTTCCACCAATTCAAGGACCTAGTTTGTCTTCTTTGGCCAGAATCAAGTTGGCAAATATATATGACAAGTTTTCGGAGTCTTTACCGGATGTATTTGGCGAACAATATTTTTTTCGTCGTTGACCGTGAAAAAACGCCACTTCACACCAGCCAGGTGCTGTTCTTCCCAAGTATCTGACAACGGTTTCATCGTATGAATATAAAGAGTGTATGGTGCAGGAGAAAAAAATATTTAGGAGTTAAATGCCACATCCTGTAATTTCTTTTTATCGGACACACTAAGATAATCATTTATCTCTATCAAGAATTACGCCTGTTATTTGAATCTCCAAAGTTTTGCCCACTTCATTCCAAGTTTTGGCGACTGTTCGTGATTTCTCTACTAGTATAACGTAACAAACACTTTTGATATGTATTTCTTGGTTAGAATCGCTGTTCGTCAAGTCCGTGCTCTGATAATGCTACTTGTCTTTCCCTCACGGAGACAATTTTCCAGTGCCTGTGTCCCGCGGGATTTACTGGGAACAGCTGTGAAACGGGTATGTTATGCGAAAAAAAAAAATGTATATATATCAATGCGGTGTCGGCCTCGTGAATCCAAACTATGATAACCATGATTTGAAATCAGCAGCTGGACTTCAGTTCCACTTATAAAAGGTTATTCTAGATCTGGGCACCATAATAGGACATTTTGCGTGCCATTCCAGTTTAATAGCAGGCCGTGGAAAGTTCGTACTTTGCGCACGTTTTTATGCAACCTCGTTCCCGGGGCCTTTTCCCTTAGTTGGGGGTTGGGCGCCAACTAAGGGACACGAGGTTGATTGTTATCTGTACACTGTATATATGATAAACTGAATTGTACACGCATTTTTGTTAGTTCTTATTTATGAGCTATTGATTCACTCGGTCATGGTCACCTTTGAGTGAGTCCCAATGGCCAGTTTGTTTTGTCTTCCACAATTAAAGCAGAATTTGATTCAATTTCAACGGTTACTTTTGAAAATGTGTGTTGAGTACTCACGAAACGTCAAGTCATAATTAAAATGTGCAAGTTCAATATGTTTATCATTGCTGTTTGTGTCTTATTTTTGATTAAAGCAGAATTACTCCTAGAAAGCCAAGAATAATCTTTCAAGTAAAATATAATCCATATTTCTCTCCTAAAATAAATGTCATTATTAAAAACTGGATCATTGGATAATGCAATTCAAGACTTTTTATTGGCTCAGCCATTATGGTATATGAGCCAATTTACCATAATCTAATTTCTGCACATTGTTAAATCCCGTTTCCTCTCACAAAATAAAGTCGAGAAGATTTGTCTAATATCTTGGGGGCGTTTTATTATTCCACTCTCGCTTGTTGGATATGAGATGATTATAGCCAACGAGGCGCGTAGCGAGAGTGGAATAATTGTTAAATAGCTGGTAGCACTACTGAACGAGGTTCGTTCATAAGTGGTCAATTATAGCATAAAATGGCGTTCATATCGTTTTTACATTACTCCTATCCTATGCAGCCTGTACTGCTTAATACAGGTTTGATGTATTGTCATAGTATTTATATATTGAAATTGAAAACAGGTATCTTTTTTTCGCCAATTTGTGTCTGTCATTATACTCATGATTAACAAATAATGATTCATTTAGTTTAACAAGCATTTACAAACCTTACCAATCATCAAAGTAAATGGCGTAGTTTAAGGACTTCAATAAAGTCAACCTGCTGTAATCGCATTTACCTTGACCTCTCTGGGTTGATTTTCCCCATCACTTAATTGAAAATCGCTCTTTCCTATAGACATAGACGAGTGTCAAACCAACCAGTACATCTGCCCGGTGAACGAGGAGTGCATTAACACCGCGGGCTCGTATGTATGCAACTGTGTCAGCGGTGTGTTCGATGACGCAGGGGTCTGCCAACTGCGGACAGGTAAGTTAATGAGAAACCCGAAAAAGGATGATGCCTTGAGCAACGCGAACCGGTGAGATGTCTGGAAGGTCGCGTTAACAGGTATAACCCGAAAGGACCGCATTAAATATTCGAAACGCTGATGTCAGCCGAAGTTTCCGAAGAATGTTCGGAAATTATTCAATATGGCGTCCGAAAGTTGCCGCAGTCGATTTACTGCAAGGGGTGTAGCAATGATAATGCATCGCTGGCGAAGAAACCCGTGTCTTACAGCGCTGATTATGAGAACCTGCTAACAGGCAATGCCATCGGTATCTAACTCCCTTTTTTTCTCTCTTTCAAAGGAACTAATTGCAAGGAGATCAAGACGGCATTCCCAAGTGCTCCAGATGGGATGTACGAAATTCAACCGAACAACGGGCTCAGCAAATTCTGGGCATATTGTGATATGACGTTATTTGGCGGGGGATGGACGATGTGTTACTCGACTGACAACCTTGCTCGCCCAAAAACAGAGGTGACCTATGACGAGAATCATCCTTATGGAACAGATGGTTACCGAACCGACTGCAATAATATTCAGGTGATTGAGAGAGGCTATGGTGTCGTGTGATATCGAGTTTTTCAGGCGTTAAATTTTGAATTGAGGCCTAACGCCTTTTTGTGTGTCCAGGTTAATGCGTTTGTCATTTATATGGCGCCATAGTGGATAATGAGCCTGATGCTATTCTTTAGAGGTTGTTAATCTTTTTCTGGAATTTTTTTTTTCACGGGGAGTTTTAACTTTTTTTTTTTTTTTACATTTGGGTTTTTAACCTATTCTGTACCCTACAGTAGGTAAGGATTCATAGTGATCTCCACTGGAAAGCCAAACTTACTCCAAGAATTTTAATACTTTCTGTTCTGTGTTTCATTTCGTCCAGACTCATGTATCGTTATGAGCCACTGTCTTCTAAATTTGATGATCATTTTTCAAAATAAGAAACTGCTCTATTTTGGCAGGCTGAACCATTTCTTATTTGTGTTGTGCTTTGTTCCTCAATTTTCAGTTTAAAGATTCTTAATCCACTTTTTCCTGTTCTCTAAACTTTCGGTTATTGACTGTTGTATTAAACACAAAGATTTTCAGTTTAATTTTTTTATTTTCACTTTTAGTTTCGTGAAATCCTTTTTGTAGACGAGACCACGAATGAAACAGCTTTCTTTACCTACAAACTCAACTCCAGTCTCTTGGCAACGGAAAATTACGGAACACAAATCTCCGGCCTGTGGTTAGGTGGAGGTGTAGCCACCAAAAGTTATGAGTACCAGCTTCGTATGTGTGACCACAGCTTCTACTCTGGCTTTTTCATATCCGGTTTTAAAAACTGTTATAAGAAGTGCTATCGTTGGTGTAGTGATCATGTTTCTCCTTACTTCCGGTCAGCGTCCACTCATCCAAGTTTTGCCGGAGTCGCCTTTAATGTCAATGGACATCGGCCGCTAGGTAGCCGACTAATAAGTGTTGGACTGAGATAAATTATGGCTGAAAGAGCTTTGCTGGCGTACAATAGACCACTTTCATAAATGGCTGCCGGATTAATATTCTTTTATTTAAATTCAAATTAGCCCTTCTGGCCTCGTTCTCTAGTACAATATTCAAAAGAATACATTATCTCAAGCGAGGCCAGAAGAGCTAATTTAAATTTAAATAATAGAATATTAATCCGGCAGCCATTTATGAAAGTCGTCTATACGGTACGGTGTTGTACCTTCAGTCAGTTAGTCAGTCAGTCGTTTACTCTATCTCAAGCGAGGCCAGAAGGACTAATTTAAATTTAAACAATAGAATATTAATCCGGCAGCCATTTATGAAAGTCGTCTATACGGTACGGTGTTGTACCTTCAGTCAGTTAGTCAGTCAGTCGTTTACTCTATCTCAAGCGAGGCCAGAAGGACTAATTTAAATTTAAACAATAGAATATTAATCCGGCAGCCATTTATGAAAGTGGTCTATT